CTTCACAAGAATTTGTACCCTACTGTTTTTTCATGCTGCTGGCGCCGAGAAGACTTTAAGGAAGAAAGGCTCTCGCTTTTTAATGGTCATAATGCCATAACAAAGAAATTCTATCTTTTATCACTGGACAAATTGATTATGGTTTAATGGACAAAAATTTCTTGTTCTTCAATGTGTTGTGAGCAAGGAGAATAGAGAACGAAACCAACATATAGAAACGCACTTGGTAGTACTGAAGCTCAATATATTGATGCTCTGTGAACATTTCTGTGACATCCTTCTTCAAGGCTAAAGGGCCGGGCATACATCACCCGATTTCAGTCGCGAGGCGATTTGGCAATTCACCAGAAGTCTTCAGATCCAACGCTAGCAAACCGCACATGCATAGTGTGTATAACTTACGTGGACTGATAAAATGGCGTATGTTCCGTGCATTTAAAATATGCTTACAGTGAGTTGTGGACGGTTGGAATATTGCCAAATCGCGTCGCGACTGAAATCGCGTGAAGTATGCCCGGCCCTTGACAAGCTCAGCGTTTTCTTTGCTATCGCTGGATTCTCCTAAACATCCTACTAATTTGAACACTCTTTACTAATGTCATTTCGAACTTACATACTCTCAATCGTCTAAAGACGCATGATTTGCTATATGAAAAGTGTGCGAAACGGTAATGATTGATCAAAAAAGTCAATATGATTTTTGTTAAGAAAATAGCACTGAGTCTTAATTTGTGGCGAGCACCGTTTATGAAGACTTAGAAAATTTTTTCTCTTTCCTTCAAGTCAGTTTCTAGGTGTTTTATAACAAAAAATTTGAATTTGTGGATTACCTCGCATTAGGCATATTACAAGTTTCCCCTTTCGAAAATGTGGTTTTGCAAATTTTTAGCGTACAGAATTACGAGAGATTTGATCATGGTATTATCATTTGCTTGCGAATACAAAACCGCAGATAAGTACCTTGGTCAAGCCTTTTTTACATAGTTCGATAAGGTGAGCGAGATTTTATGGTAAAGATAGCATCATCGAAATCAAAGAAAAAAGCTAAAAGAATGCAAATTGTTTTCAAGAAGTGGACATGAAACTGATAACTTGAAACATATTATATTAAAAGTAATGTCTTCTCGAGAATCTTCGAAAATTTCCTTTTGTACATGCTTCTTGATTTTTTTAGCCTGTGAATGAAAAAAAATTTCTCTCTTGCTACCGCCCATTTCATTCTTCGGAAAATCAGTGCCAAAGCTGGTAATTCTTTCTACATAATGTTGTGAATGCTACAAATGATCAATGAATCTAGAATAAAGTACCAGAATAATGAACAACGAGAATTAATAGCCACATTTGTCTTTCAGTAACTTCTTCAAGCTATGTAATATTAATACCTGCAGATTGTAGTAAGCAATCAAATCAAATTCCCAAACGCGCTGTTAATTATTTCTGCAATTTCTATGCAAGTTAGCCCGTTACATTCTATTCTATATATAGGCTCAAATCTCGCTGATACATCCAACCCTTAAGTCAGCATTGAAGCTCCAGAAAGTTCTCTGCTCAAACTTTATTGAGATTCGTCTTGATGAGATTTGAACACCAAGTCTGCAGATGATGCACTTGGCAAATTTACAAGTTCATGATAAGCTTTTATAGGCTATTGTTTGCGCACATCTTTTATGTGGGTGTTAACAGCGATAAAGCATATTCAAACAAAATTAGTCAAAACATCCGGGTCAAATGTACTGAGTAGAGTCCAGGTAGCTCAGTTCAAATGTGCGGACCGCGCAGTACGGTAGCTGAATAGGCAATTCAGCATTAGGCACACAGCTAGTAGAAAAACACATTGCGATGAAAAACTGACGCGCGTACATGTGGTTTATCGCGATCGGAAATCGCATGTTGGCACTTGGCCAAAAAGGAAGTGCTACTTGTTCTGTGGGAGCTTTTGAACGCTATTTTCAAAGAATTGTCCAAGTGGGATCAAGACCTTTCGATAAAATGCTTATTCTACAAAAAAAATTCGCATACATTTTTCGATGCCAAAAAAGCGGTCCTCTTTTTCCAAGAAAAGTTTCCAGCATGTTTCTGAGCGTAATTTTCAAAGTAATGGTCCTCTAGTTACGTTATTATGGATATTCTGAGTTCTACTTACTTTTTTCAGATACTCGCATTTTTTTGATCAAATCATCACTCTATGAAAATAAGGGACTGTCGTTTGAACGAATTATCATTGCTAAGGGGTTGTGTTCAGGGTACTGATTTCAAGATTTCTATATATCGTGAAAAATCAAAATTATTTACGGTTTGTGTTCGAGATCATAAAAATAATCCAAAATGTTTTGTTGAGCTATGAATTTTCATTTATCCGTCTTCATTTCTCGTTTCTCATCTCTTTTATTCAAATTTATTTCCACGTACAATTTCTTCCATCACAGCCGTATGTCGGCTCATCAAAGCCATAAAAGACCTATCTTCTCGTTGAATGATTGAAAGCCGAGAAAGCTTGGCAATTTGCCATAGATGTTCTACTTATCCTCTTGGAAATTTCATCACAAGTGCCCTACTGAAACCTCACATTCCATTACCTTACAAGTCCAATTTTTTCAACACATCATCATTTTTTTATTGCCTCTTATGTGTGTTTATTTAACTCAATTTGATGCGAAGTAAATTTCAGCTTCTTCTCAAGCATGACGCTAATCCAGCGTCACACATTCCTCTACTTCGTCTTCCTATTACTGCGATATTGTCAAACAGTGCCTTCGTCAACCTCCACAAAGCTCAGGAATTGTGAGTTGATAGACTACTTTTCATAGTTTGATATTGTTTAACATCTATTTTATTCTCTTCAGGGAAATTAGGTGACATTGGTGGTAAGTTATGTCATTTTTATATATACAGCTCCCTCTCGTCGCTCGATTATTTCCCTTTTGTGTACGAATCTCCCTCTATATGTAAAATTCGTGGTCACACAAGAGCTTCGTTTTTGGATGTTGTCGAATGGTCGAGGACTCCACAAATATTTTTAGCCTTTGTGGGGAGATAAAAGTAGCAAATGTTGTACATTTATAGGACGTACAGCTCATAAAATCTGCAAAGCTTATTTCATTGATATCTTTCACACACCTCGTTCCACTAAATTGCAAGTGTTTACAATAGCAGAAATTATGGTCTGCAATGGTAGAAGTCCACCATACGGTAGATATACTGTAGGACATCTATCACATGTGTAATACGATTTGTATGATTGTACATCAAATAAACTTCTTCCCATCTATTATATTATAGTAATATTATATATGTCTTGATAGAGAAAGTAGTGCAAAAAGAAAAACCTAGGAAATCTGTCTGCCCCATAATTTCCCTACTTTCCGCCACTCGGTTCTTCCAGAAGCGATGTTTAAATCATTATGTGACAAATTATTATTATTTAGTCAGTTATACATACTCATGGGCAATAGCCATGCATCTATATGCTCCATTTATTTCGATCTCCCTACTGTAAAAATAAAGATCAAATCAGGTAGCATACGGCATTCATAAAGTTAAAAATTTGAATCATGACAATCACCGTCACGAGGCTACTGAGGGAAAAGTTTTATCAAATTTTCATACAGCAAAAAGTTGAATAGACCTTATCGCGTAACTAGACATTTGTCAGACTTTTCGCTCGACGCTTAATCACATGTGGTAGCAAAAATGATGCTTTTTATCTTTTCACGCTCCTGATCTCTCTAGTTTATCGGTGCCTTGAATTTTACAGCTCAAGCACTATGCAACATGTGGTTGTCATTAATTTATGGCTGCCGCTGGTAAGAAGAAGTATTTCAATGGAATTTTTTGCATTAACTGAACAAAAGAATGTCTAAATCGATATAAACTCTTGTAAGAAAATGATACAATGCTTTAACCATATTTCTAATGGTATGTTTGTTTGAGGAAGATCATGCATATACATTTTTATGCTGCTTTGTGAATGGAGCAGCTTTGTGTCAGATCATACAAGATTTTTGAATCTCTCATCGTTATTCTTTTATGGTAATACTCTTATCCACTAAATAGGCAAATGTGTACAGTTCTTACCTTGATAAATCTTTAGGGTTGCTTACAAAGCATTTTGGCGTTTAAAGCAATTAATAAATATAGGTATTTACGACGAATGATCAAAAGTCATTGGTGACAATCATGCAAAACAAGTAAAATAAGCAGCTCACTTTCATCTAACCGCTTATCTTGTGTTTTGATAAGGGGCCAGCGCGTAAACGTCATTTTTAGAGATTTGGGGGTGAATCATGGGAAATTATAGTTTGTAATATTCACATTAAAGTCGCCAAAATCACTCATTTAGTAGATAATTAATTTTTGCCCTGATGATAGTTTTAGTGATTAGAGGAGAATTAGACAAGCAACATGATGATTACAATTTACCATCGAACTTGTGAGTCAGAAAAAAAAACAACCTGCAACACTTAGAACTCACAGTTCAATAAAATAGTAGGAAACAAGGCTGCAGAGCTCTAGAATATTTTATTGTCGAAAAGTTGTATTGAAATTGTTTGTTTTATTGTCAAAATAAAACAAACAATTTCTTCCAACTTCTGAATTACGAACACAAATGTTTGCACTTACAATATAGAATTCGTAGATTGAACTCAGACGCCTTTTTCTCTTGTATCTTCAGCTTTTTCCGAATTTTAGAGCAGAAAAATAAATGCTATTTCACTACAAAAGCCAAAATTATCTTCAGAAGCAAAATTGGGAGGAAATTTCTTTTACTAGAGAGAGATCAACTGCTTAGTGACAAAATTCGTGCATCCATCCCCTCTTATTCAGTCCAACACTTCAGGTTTTAATTCAACGAAATGTTCTATTAGTGTGGTCGGGCAGCCAGGCATGCTTATCTCATTTCTTAATTATACCGTTGCAATGCTCGATATAATGCACATCCATGGCGCCCGGGGCCATTTTGCGAAATTACCCTCTCAACTGCCCGCCCCCCGTTCACGTTTCGAGCCGCGTTTCGCGCTACGTGTTCAACACATGCAATTTTCATGCACACGCATACTGTAGCCACTTATATTCTGTTAAACGTCTTTCTGCGCACTACCGTATCTACCAGCCACTACTGGAGGTCGAGGGGTTGTCGGGAAAATGCTCCCCCGGATTCTGAGTGCTGTGAGTTTCTCATTCACTCGATCAATAGGAGCTGATATCGCTGCGAATGATAAGACCACATGGTTTTGGCGCTGTTTTTTCGCGGATTTAAATTTTTTCTGCTTAGTAATTGAAGAGATAACATTTTCTGTGGAGAGGTAGATGTGTGAATTCTAGAGTCTTCAGCTTTATCTTCATAATGCGAAAAAAAGCGTAAATATCGAACAAATTTCATGTACTTGTAACCTCCCATTTTTCCCTCTATTGTTTCCAAAACAGAATAAGCAAGGATTTTTGAGCTACCCCATGTGGTCAACACTTGTCATAAGCAGATTTTTCCAAAACTTCAAAAAATGTCCCTTTTAGTCTGTTCCGGCACGAACAATGGACGCTCATTGGCTGGATCTGAAAATCGAATACAGGATCTCACCACTATGTATGAGAACTGTACACGGGTATACGGTAACGTTGAAATCACTCATCTGACAAAGACGACAATGACAAATTGGACTGATGCCGATTTCAGCCGGAAACTGAAGATATTTGAACATATCCGAGAGGTACGGTATTTCGAGTGATTATTTGTTACTTGGAGTTTGGAGTTTTCCCTGAAATTTTCCCTCCAGTAGGCTCATTTCTATGCGGAATACGGTAGCAAGATCGCGGTAGCAGTAAGTAAATATATGTATATTCCATAAAGGGGTCTAACATAAGGCTGATGTTTGCCGAAGAGTTTGTTACACACGTGTCGAACAGTTCCGAATTTGAAACAGTTGTCCACCTACGCCACTTCTTATTCGTACTTCGTCCATTACTCTTTTGACACTATCCTGTCTTGAAAAGTGCACATTCCCCATCGTGGAACTATCTTCAGATCAAAGGATACCTACTCATTTACAACGTCGACATCCGCAGCATTGATTTTCCAAACCTGAAAATCATTTGGGGTGACGATTTACTGGATGACACTAGCGCTTTGACGCTGAGTAGCAATTTGGAGTTGAAGGAATTGCGAATGCCGAAGTTGAGAGGTTTGTTAATGCCCTGAATTATGTAGGAGTTTGTGAGAAAATTTTCTTTTAGCCATACAGAAAGGAAATGTGCGTATTGAAAACAGTACATTCTTATGCTATCTACAATCAAAAGTCAATTGGGATGAGGTTGGTTCTTAACATTTCGTCGACTTTCCATGATGCGCCCAATGCCCGTGCCAGTTCCGTTCCAACGCTATGACAGCACCGCGCCGGAACGCACGCGGGTTTACTATCGTCTAGCGCCTTGACCAAATGACACTCTATCGCCCGGCACGCCGCTGGCACAGCGCTGGAACACTCCGGCATGGGCAACTCTGCACACAATCTAAGCGGATCATACATAATTTCTGTATTTACAGCTGCTGGAAGATGATGCTTTGAATCGTCTCATTGCTTCTGAATCAGCATTTCGGCAATGTGGTACCTTACCGATAAAATGCACCGGATGTGAGCATTGTTGGAGCGGGAAACAGAAATACTGTCAAGAAGGTAGGCACTTTCTATAATTTCGCAGTACAAGTGCATGGAACTCATTTTAAAAGAAGTTAACGCACTTTGACGGTTTTGCCGCAACAAGTACGTCGCGAAATCCCAAACATTAGCTTTTCTTGGATATTTTTGATATAATCTGGATTGTTAGGTAGGCCTTCAATTTCTTCTGAAAATACTCCTAAAAAGTTGTACCGTCAATTTGTTAACCGCACGGACTGCTCGCTGCGGACCACACGCGGCGCAATTGAATTGTCGCGAGAGCACGGACTTGTATATACATTGGCGAATTCGTACTGGGGAAGCGTTTAACCTCGCGGCGCGTGCTCCGCAGTGACGTCCAGTCCGTGCGGTCAACGAATCAACTATAGCATTTCGAAGCTTTCTTGACGATAATATGCAGCGACTGAAAATTTGTCGCAATCCATTTTTTTCCCTTGAATTAGGAGCGCAATTGTATATGATTAAAATTTTGATTCTTTGCATTCTGCAAACTTTTGCAATCCGATAATTTAGCTGTTTTCATGTGATCGACGGGTTGAGATCGAAATCTTGATAAATGAACGTTTATTCCTCTATATTTGAAACCATGTCCCTCATCTCCTCCATATCCTCTTCTTTCTCTCCTTCCTCATTTTTCCTAACCTTGTTCTTTCATCGCTCTCTTTCTTGAAACATCCTTTTATTGCGAAGGAGTGCAGTCTATCTCTCTAAGGGTCTTTTTGAAACCACAACTTGTTTATATCAAGTATGTGTAATTAGAATGATATTGTGAATTTCATGCGTAACCACAAATCCTAGCCCAGCTGAATTTTAACTTTATTCTAGTCTTCTTTCTGCGCATTTATCTTGAAAATTTTGCGACTGATACTGATTATGGATCTAAAATTCCACCTGTAGTTCAACAATGTTGTTATAAACAAACCTAAACTCGTCCAATCTTCGTTTTTGCACAAAACTAAGCTGTAAAAGCTCTGGGAAAACTTTCATGCAAATATACAAAGCATACCCTCGATACATAGAGCCACATACTCTGGTAACCTTCACTTTAAGGGCTATGAGGGGACACAACCTTCACCTGGAAAAAAAACAGAGGTCATCCGGGGCTTCGCCCCGGATGTTGTTATATTAAATATATCGAAATGAATGTTAATGAAGCAAATACAGGAAAGAATAACCGAAGAATATCTTAGAAACCGAGAAATTGCTTTTTTTAAGCCTTTTTTTACGCTGAAAAGAGAATTTCTGTAAAAGTTTCCTCAGAATCCAAGACAACGTTTCTAGTTAGCCTCTAACTTGACCAAAATTGAGTTTCAGAAGTTTGGGAAAGCTCTTGGAGTTGAATTAAAAAGAGAAATTGCGCTTAAATGTGCGCAGAGAATCGCGCACAAAAATGCTGGTCTATTTCGTTAATGAGTGATTTACAAAGCATGGGACGTTGTCAGTTCTCCTCTTCGTGTCATGACGGTCAGAATGATATATAATGCTGCAGGGTTTCGTTGAGACCCCGCGGAGATCTACGACCAGAGCCAAATGCCCCGTCGGCTCTGGTCTGGCTCCGCTGCTCGTCTGCGTCTCCGCGCGCTGCGCGCTACCTCGCTACCCCAAACGCGGGGCGAGGGGCATTTGGCTCTGGTACCCTTTTCTTCGCTGTTTCGAAACCAATTTTAGCAAGCTATATATCATTTTGAAGCTCTTGATCTCTATTTTCACGCTGACAACGCCCCAGAACCACATTTTTTGATTTGGTTGAGAAATCCGGCGAAAACCTTGTTTTCGAAAATCTCTTGTTTTTCTTCTAGTTTACCTCTTTTTACGCGGTTTTTTTGTGCATTCTATAGATCTTGCTTCTATTCATAATGCAGACAACCACCCAGCTCTTATCTCTTCGATTATAACGGAATTTTTCGTGAAAAACCGTGAAAAGTGCGTTTTTCTTTACCTTGTCCTGTTTCAGTGCTTTCGCAGCGATTTTTTCCCAACTTGGGCGATTATTGCTCAGAACAAGAAGCGCAACAATCCAGACAACGTCCCAGGAAACAGGAACGTCAACGCGGGTGTAAAAATTTAAAGGACGCATCAAAAATCATAACCCCGTGTTGCGAGTTGCTGGTCCTGGAGCGAAAACTTGCACTCTGAAAAGCCGCCAAATGAAAGATTTCAAACCTTATTGCGGCGTTTTTATCCGGTTTACAGCGGTTTCTTTTGCTTTTTATATCTATTTTACGTCATTTTCTCTTTTCTGATCTTCTTCAAACAACCTTCACTATTTATGACGTCAGATGTTCAAACAACCTTCACTTTTGGCGCCCTGTCTCTGGACTATCGAAGGTGTGATACAAAGTGCTCCATGAAAATTCATGTTTGGAAGGTCGCTTGCTTCCAAGCGCTCGCCAACGAACTGTTTTGGAATAATAGGTTTTTTGTTATGTATCTATTTTACATTCCTCTTCGCTTCATTGATGAGTCATTGCCGTGGCTCAAAAAGGTCCACTTTCATTTGGTCCTTTTGTTTTATTACGCGAATGTTGTGCACTTTCAATTCCTGAACCCACGTCATCTTCATTCCAATGCCTCATTTGCATTAGTTTGCATTTCGGAAAAATGAAGCAAGCCATGCGACATAATTAGGTAGATCAAATAAGGGTCTCGTTCCAGAATACCGATCCGTTTGTGGGGATAAATGCGCTTCTCGCCAGTGTTTCTTGCCAGCTAATTCAAGCACTTACGAATGTTGTCATGAAGCTTGTACCGGTGGCTGTACAGGACGTGGTGCCCATCAGTGTGTGGTCAGTAAAAGCTACAGTATCCAAAGGTCCTAAAATTATAATGGGAGCCTTTAGGCCTGCCGTGAGCTAAGCCTTGACGGCGTTTGTGTGCATCAATGCCCACCTATGATGGTCCATGATTCAAAGAAAGGAATGTTGGTCCCAAATCCCAGAGGACGTTACGTCTACGATCGATACTGCGTCGAGGAATGTCCTAGTGGGTTTATTACCTTTTTTGGCAAGAGCTTAATCCAGAAATAAGAAATTTTAGAAGAACTGCTGGTCGAAAGGGATGCTTGCGTTCGCCATTGCTCTGTGGGATCTCATCATGATATGACGAAAGATTCTAGGAGATGTGAGCCGTGCAAAGGGGTCTGCCCAAAAGGTGAGTTTATAAACATAAAAAGCTTCAAATTCTAATCCTCAGGACAGAATCCAAGTGAACATTTGATCAATAGATTTCAGGAATGGTGGATAGAAATAGTATGTTCATTAGCCAAAAAAATTTTGATCAGTCTGACAACTGGTACAAATATTGAAGACAAACCTTTGTATAGTTTTCAGTAGCATCAAAAACATTGAAGAGTGAGAAGTTAGCATTTCGAGAAACTTGTAACTGTCTACCACAAAAGATATAGCCCAATATGAGCTACCTAGATCTATAGAACTGAACATAGTGTTTTTAACCAACCTAATATGCAATTATGATGCTGGCTATTTATCTGGCCCTAGGAGATACTAGATACTCCACACCAAAAAATTCGCGTCTCCTTGTATAAAATGTTGTTTCACCTTGTTCATATTCAGTCAAGCACAGAACACTTGCCTAAAAGCATAGCTCTCCGTTTTATAGCAGTAAACCACAAGCAAGTTCCTCTCATAGAGTAAACATGTAAATATTTACTGCTAAACCTTTATTGATTCTGGAGTGACCCAAAGATTGCATGACATGGGTACGAATGCTCCATAACAAATCTGAAATAACTTTATTTGGAAAGGGTTCGAGTGATTGTGTGAACGGGTGAACTTCATCTGAAAGATTTGCTCAGTTCAATATTAGCGAATTCTGCCTTTTTCATATGGTTTCCTGGAGCTGTTAGTGTAAGAAAATATTTACAGTATGTCAAGTGACGAAAGCTCTGACTGGATCCATTCTTCGCAATCTCACTGGCTGTGAAGAAATCGATGGCTTTATCGATATCCAGGATTCAAAAATGAAGTAGGGGCTTTTTTATCTACATTTTTGTAGCAGATCCTGACTTCTTTCCAGTTCTTATACCGACGGTTACACACGGGAAGATCTTAACGCTCTCAAATCGGTTCGCATGATTTCCGAGTATGTACAAATTGCTACGCAGACGGTTTCGCCAAGGAATTTGTCATTCTTGGAAAACTTGGAGTTTATTGAAGGAAGGAACTTAGTGACGTAAGTTGAGAAAAAAAAGCTTCGCTAATTTTCTGCACCCAGCACAAAGTTTGAACAAAGCAAAGTACTTACAATATAAAATGGCAAGTTGTATATTCAGTTTGTCATTTCTGAAACCTCAGGGTTATTTTTTAACTCGATTTACGCAAAGAATTTCTTTCGCAGAAGTAAATCTTCCAAAAACACTGTGTTATTGAGACAAAATTGCATTGAGACTTGTTTAATTCAATCACCGTGACTCCGACAAACATTTTCGGACCTTTCTTTTTTCTAAATGAACTTTTACAGGTCCCGGTTCGCACTTGCAATCAACAAGAATGACAATCTTGAACAACTTGGACTTCGCAACCTCAAAGTAAGTCATCGAAATTTTGTAGCTACTGAAACGTCTTTATTTTTCAGAAGATCAAGGCCGGTAGTGTGATTATAACCGAGAACCATGGACTATGCTATGCAAAGACGATTCAATGGGATAAAATAATCGCACCGACTGCACAGGCTGTGATCAGCAAAAACATGGACAATAAATGTGGTGAGCAATCACAAAAAGAATCTTCGAGTCGCAAGCATGTCACTGAAAACAGGGAACGGAGGAGAGGGGGGGGGGGGAGAGAGAGAAACGCAGCAAAAATTTTCTGAATGCAAGGGCGTACTGTTAGCCATGTACTCCGCGGAGAATCTCGGGAGACCTTTTAGGAGCCTGTGACTCCATAATTTGGAAGGGGTGTGAGGTGTGGCTGGCGTCTACAATAAGTAATTTGCGGCCCACTGGAGGAAGAGGAAAAACAAGGGGGAGGGGGGGGGGGGGGTAAATAAGTAGGAGGGAAATATGGAAAAGGCGATTTTATTACTGATTCATCTGCTTGTTTTTTTACTCTCTATTGATTGAAAGATTAAGAAAGTACCCCCTAAACCCGCCCCCATTCACTGACAAACTTCAAGTAAATGTGAATTCAGAACAACGAAATCGAAAATGTGATCCGAATTGTGATCCAGCTGAAGGTTGTTGGGGACGTGGCCCAACAATGTGTACCAAGTGCCGATATTGGAAACTAGATGAGGCTTGCGTCAAAGAGTGTCCAAAAGAAGGGTGAGTAGATCAGTAAGGGTTACTGTATTAATCAAAGTTTCTTTCAAAATTGGAAATTGGGGAACAGAGTGGAAAACTCTCTAATTTTAGTTATTACCAAGATCACACCACAAGAAAATGCCTACCTTGCTATGAAGAGTGTTTAACGTGTAGTGGTAAGTTATTTTAATATTCCACAAGTCTTTTGATAAACAATAATGAGATTCTGATCGTGGAATTCCGTGTAGGACCATCTGCTAGGGATTGTCGTACCTGCAAACATGTGAGACTAGTAGAAGAAGAGGAAGTCACCTGCCTTCCAAAATGCAATAACACGTATTACCAAGACGGAATCGACTGCAAACATTGTCATCCAGGTTGTTCAGGTCTAAAGTAAGCTCAGAAAACTCCGAACAGAACTTCGTAGAGTTTATGACAATATTTTGCAGGTGCACAGGTCCTGGAGACCACTTAGGAGCAGGTGGATGCACAGAATGCTTGTACGCGCAGGTTTCCGGCGAGCATGAGGTACAGCATAAAAATCAAAGGCAGTGTCTAGACAAAACTTCGATACGTTAACATTTTGTGGATTTTGTTGATTGGGAGAAGCTTAGCTTAGCCTCTCCCAAACCGCAGTTCACAGAATCTGGTCGAAAATTCCCATCTTTAAGTCTTAGTTCACACCGTATTCTTCGCAAGCAAACCTATCAGTGCTTTGAGTACAGTATAAAGTTGGCCAGCTGGGATTTGGAGCTGAACTGGTCGACAATGACAATTCATAAGCTGCCGTTTCGGCTATGATCTACAGCTAACAAGTAGCTTAGGCAGTACCCGTATATGCCTAAACATCGCCTTTAAATAATTCCTGCGTTGTGCCAAAAATAGGGATAGGGCCGCATTATTATAGTTCTTATAGTGCATACTTTTAGCCAGTGAACTATACACAACCAACGGAACAGTTTTTTTGCTTTAAACCTCCATTTTCTCCGTCCATTAGAAAATTCTCATTTTACAATGTTTTAGAATTTTTATCAAGAGGGGAGAAGCTTTGGAAGCATGAGGGCTGACGAGGCAGTTCGATGTTTTCTTTTTAAACGCGGCTAGAACTTTACCAAATAATTCGGAAAATTTTTGAAATTGAAAGATTAGTTTTTCTGGGTTGGACATGTATACGGCAAAAAGCTACTCCTCGCTGAGGGTCTAATATATGACTACAGTAATCGACTTAGCAATCGAGCTACAGAAAGATGCACTTCGATCTAAAAATCTACTTCCTGACCAAAAAAATATTCATCTGTGTGCTCTATGTATGGCTTTGCGACTGAAAAATACAGCATACTAAAAATTGCAAGATTAGGTAGCTGTGCAAGACCAACAAAGTCACTTTTATTCAGGTAAGCCGTTGTTTAAAAGCTCCACCATCGATGCAAGAAGTATGCCACGACCTTCCCGGGCATTATCCTTCAACTCAAGCAATCGAAGGAGTTCGACTTGTGGTAGGTTTCGCCTGTCGTTTTTGAGAGCTTATATTTGCTTTTGATGAACAGTAATCCAAATTCTATAATATTCACATACTCTTGGAGAGAATTTCTTATTAACACTTAAAACCGAGAGGATATTTTCTTGCTGTTAGCAATAAAAAAAAACACTTCCATTAAGCATTGCGATCCATGCGATGAACAATGTGTTTCATGTACTTCGGCTGGCCGTTATGTATCAGCTAACGGATGCGTCTGTAAAGGTTTGCAAGTAGTGTTTTTTGGTACTCCCATATAAAAATCCACAATCATTCAGGTTATGCTAACGAAGTAGAGAAAGACTCAACCTGTTTTGACAAATGTTTCGAGTCACATTACGAAGCTGTGCCAAAAAATGGATCTAAGCCCGGAGTGTGTAAAAAGTAAGTCCGGATCTTGGAAAACTCTCGTTGGGGAATTAAAGACATGTATTTTGTTAGTCTGCTTAGAAACTTTTTTCATCAAGTTGGCCAGAGTAATTTCTTTACCAGGTCGGTGCAAAAATAATCCACTTGCAATTCAGTTTGACCAGCTATAACTTCGTCCACATTTTATATTCCCCACTGTAACGAAGAGCATCAGAAATAGTAAGCCTTCCGCAACCCGCGGAAAGCTTACTATTTCTGATGGGCGCTGTCGTACCAATATCACAAAAGCGATGGAAAACGCGCATTGAGGATAAAAATTCTTCTTTTCTGAAATCTCGTCTTTGACAAAACACAATCACATTTTGAAGTTTGAATTTTTTAGTCACATTGACAAGATAAAGGACAACCATAAAACCTTGGTAACGGCTTCGGTCGCATGCGTTGCGTGCGCAGTTTCGGCGACCGCGTTTTTTATGTGTTTCCTTTCCTGAGTGCTTTTTTGCATGCATGGTAATTGTTACATACTTGGAGTTACTCAATTAAGCACTAGAATGATACCCTTGTTTGAATATGCATATCTTGTGACTTTTGGTGAGCGTAAAATTCGCAGTCTAATTTCTCATCGTTATAATATGAAAGCCCTATATCGCATGGGCAATTGCTTCAGAATAGGGTGCACGGGTAGTCTAATGTGCTTGGACTGCCTATATTGCTAAACGTCCCGCGAACGTAAAAATTCACATTTATATTTTGGAAAGTATACGGAGCATAGAAAATGTTTGACATCTTCAGTAATTGTTTATGACTTTTTACAACAAATTTAACCAAAATCTAACAAAAAACAAAGTACTCTAGTTGTCATCCTCTATGCGATCGAGGACACGGCTGTACTGGCCCAACACAAGCTGACTGTATACTATGTATGTACGCCACCATAGCTGGAAAGGATGGCGAAAAGAATGTAAAGCTTTTATTGGCTGCTAATAAAGCTCACGCAAAAATTTTCTATGTTCAAGGTTTGTGTTGACGAATGCCCGGAAGAGCTCCCATTTATTGACGATCTAAAAATTTGCCATGAAGTCGATATCAAAAAAGAACGCGAACGACGTTCAAAAATGATCGCAACCGCGCTGATTATAGTATTTACTGTGCTGGTCACTGCTATGCTTGTGAGTTGGATAATTTTTTGGAAATTATTCGTTTTCTCAAAGAAAATTTTCAGATAGTCTGTATGCGATGTCGCACTTTCAAAAGAAAATTGTTAAAAGAACAAATTAGCAACTATGTAGACATACCCGAAATGACTCCCATAGGTGAGTGGATGGTGGAAACTCATAAACAAATATGAAGTAAAAAATGCTTTAGAATATAGATTAGCAAGTAAATTCGCACTTTTCTTTTTTTATGGAAAATTCCAGAAAGCGAAGGCCTCATATTTGCTTCTCACTTAGGTGATAATAGGGTCTTCCCACCGGCGTGCTCATTGCCGCGAAAACACACATAGTCAAGAAATTACGTTGTTTTGCAAGCATGCCCAAATTATACTTTTTACTCTTGTTTGGTCCCCCCTCTACACATAATCTTCCTTGATTTGAACTTTGCACCTTGTCAGCATGCTTCATGCATGAGATTTTCGAGTTTTTTGGGTACATGTGATATATGGGGAAAATATACCGGAGATTATCTGCAAACCTAATAATTTGCAAATTTTTAGATCCATCAATCCGGTCAAATATGAGCCGCGTAAACTTGATTACCGCTGGAGAATTACAAACCAAAGGTACACAGCTAGGAGCTGGCGCATTCGGAGTGGTCTACGCGGTTCGTTTCCTTATGTATTTTTCAGATTTTTGAGCTCCTAGTTTGGCTGCAACCAAAAACCCAAAAAAAATTTTATTATAGATTGTTTTAACCATGTCCAAATTTCAGATTTAGCTGCAGTAAGTTTCTTAATTTTGCAGGGTTTCTGGTTCCCGAAAGGAAAAGGCAAGATAAAAGTACCGGTGGCGATAAAGCTTGTCAAAGGTACCTGCACTGGCAAAGAGGTAAGAAGCTAGAAAAATATTTTTGATTCAAATGAAGACGCATCAACAAACCTTTGGAATATTTTTGTCTAGTAGCGAGCAGAAAATCTCAAATTGTGAGAACATTCTGTTCAATGGTCAACATGAAATATGATTCTGTGGTTTTATAATTTTGCAGGAATCAGAAATGTTGAATGAAGCCATGCAAATGGCGTCATTGAAACACGAACATCTTTTGCGTTTGGTAGGAATCTGTCTGCACGAAGAAGGAATACAGCTGGTGAGATTTTATAAATTTCAAGTTCAACACAATTTTTTGGCAAAAATTCAACAGAAACGTAAAAATTTGCAATTTCGCGAATTCGTCCAAAGCAAAGAAATCAACTCGGTTTCAGGTGACCCTGCTCCGCCCACTGGGGAATCTCTTGAACTTCCTGAAAAAGCACAAAGCTCATCTATCTGGAAAGGACTTGCTGCTGTACTGCTATCAGATATCATCTGTAAGCAGAGCTTTATAATTTGCGTGGTGAACATTTACTCTTAAAAAATGTTTTTTAAGGCCATGAAATACCTGTACGAACACCGAGTCATTCACCGTGATTTGGCTGCAAGAAATGTTCTAGTTAAAAGGCATAATCACGTTGAAGTAACTGATTTTGGACTGGCAAAACTTCTCGACTATGGTCAAGATAAGATCAAAGTCATGGAAGGCAAGGTAAGCTCAGTCTAACCATATGCGGGTTACTTAATTTTCGTCTTTCACTCTAGGTGGCTATAAAATGGTTAGCGCTGGAGTCATTGAAGGACCAAAGCTATACTCATCGAACTGACGTTTGGGCTTTTGGAGTAACATGTTGGGAAATTCTCACATTTGGACAGGTCTGCACTTTTCATAAGTTGACAATCCTTGTTTCATCCTATAGCATTGCCCAATGTAGAGCCCCTACCAAGGCATGGATGTGTGCGCTATAAAGAATTTTCTCAAAGAAGGAAACCGCCTCTCCCAACCAAATAATTGCTCTGCTGAGCTGTACCAAGTTCTATTACAGTGTGAGTTTCTAGGACCTTTACACGAATGGACATCCGATTCCAAAAAGATTATTTGTAAAAATGAAAAAAAGAAGTGAAGCGTACCGTATCGTTGCAGGTTGGATGGCTAATCCTGAATCTAGACCAACATTCACAATGTTGTACGATCGATTCCAGAACTTTTGCAAAATCCCTCATTTATATGTTGTTGTAAGTCGAATATGTCCCAAAAAATTAAAAAATCTTACTTTTCAAATTTTTAGGATCAAACCGCACCACAAGCTTTTATTGAAACTGAGAGTCAACGAGATCTATTACGAGAACTCTTGAACGACTCAGAGAATGACTTCACAGATCCATTGAACTACTTCGAGACTTGCGAAAATCCTGAATCGCCCACTGGCGACTTTGAGGGGGTATGTGTTATGTATCGCGATAGCCGTTTACTTTTACACCAATCGATTTTACGACAAGAAATTTGTACCAATTGAATCAGCTGGACAAGCGTTCATAGCTTAGTCAATTTAAAATGTGTGCGATTGCACACGACATGTACGTTGCGCTCGCCACTCCCTTAAACGTTTATGTTCATTGTGCAAGAATGAAATTGATAAAAGATGGTGAACTGCTCCTGTCACGAACGTATGCGTCCTTTAAACGCTGGGGCCACGCGCAACAAGCAAATTGTTTGCTTTATACCATACATACCTCACGAATTGACGTATATGTACAAGAACAGTGAAACAAGACTAAGATGGCTTTGTCATGGTAAATATTGTAGAATCTAATTTAATGCATGAGTTGCACAGTGTGCGCGTTGCACTGCGACTTCTCATTAAGGGTCAGTTGGTAAAAACGTTTAAATAATTATTTGGTAAAATTGATCATGCACAATTGTATGCGCCAAGGCGGATCTAGGGAGGGGGTATAGAATTGCACAAGCGGCTTGTTTTCACTCACAAACAATTCTAAAAAATTTAATAAATCAATCATATTTTTCGGAAGGCGTGCCTAATGTCACGATTCATTCAAAAAAAAAATTGGACGTGCTTTATGCTAAGCGCCTGTCGCACGCAGTGTCGCACTTTCACAAAAATTCGAATCACAAAAACATCGCACCCTGATAGAGTGGAGACTTTATGATAATCATTGGTATGTCCCTATCTAAGATGAAAGCAAAAAGAGCTTGGGGAATGTGACGGTTTGTATGCGCATAGGCATGGAAAACCGTACATGTCGCACAGTACACGTAATGTGTCATAAATCGCTCTAATAACTTCACTTAGTCATATTTCTCTAGTCCAGCCATAAAGAAGCATCTGAAATGTTTCGCTTTATATAAAAAGGAAACTTTGATCATTTTGGAAAAATACTCAGACAAATCACCGGAACTTCCGCAGGGCGAGCCAAATTTGCAGAAGTTCCGCAAGTTCCACTGCAAAAATGAAAACGTTGAAAATCGGAACTTCCGCGGGATCTTCATGCCAAAGTGGTTGAAAACCGGAACTTCCGCAGAACTTTCTTCAAAATCCTGCGGAAATTCCGAAAAATGCCAGAGGTCCCGCAGCACATTGGCCTGCCAGAACTTCCGCAGGACTTTGAATGTGTTGTCTCGTGATGTTGCCTCGACAGCAACTAGAGAGCATTATCGAACATGTCAGGCGTAGCGTAGAGGACAGTAGGTAGGTCTCACAGTCAATAGAGTGAGGTTCAAATCTCGCTTCGGTGTTCTCTTTTGCTGTTGTGGTTGGCATTCTTCGGAACTTCCGCAGGACCTCATCTCGGAACTTCCGCAGCACGTTTACGGAACTTCCGCAGATGACCTGGCGGAACTTCCGCAAGCGCTCTGCGGAAGTTCCGGTCATTTGTCTGAGTAGGTACAAACATTGAATTCCGTGTTTCACCGCACAAAAAATCAAGTGTAACACAATTGTTGGTATTGTGAAACTAATTTCTTATTTCCTCTTTACAGAATTTTGCGCCACGAAATGTACGACGATTGCAATCAACCAGCTCGCATAGATATCAGACCGATCCAATGATACGGCGTAGGTTTTACTCTCGATGATTCAAATTAACGACTTCGCCTTACATTGCGGAATTTCATGCTTTACTTCCAGCGACCGTTCGAGCATCCGAAATAGGAATGGATGACGGCAACTACTTGATACCAAATGCGAAGTTGATGAGCGAACAGCACGCTACATTATACACGCCTGTTGTGGTGAACGAGAACGGCGCAACAGGTGAGTGTAGTAACTAAAAGCCAATTTTTCATCCAATCTGTTTGCTCATTTTGGTCTTTTGTGCACCGCAGAAACTGAGCAAAAAAAATCCGCTCAGGTAGCTCTTTAATCTCGAATTACTGATCTGGCCTATAATCCTCCCTTCAGGGCAACTCCGGCTGGGGCAGACCTATGTTGAACTTTAAATGTCTGACATCCAGTGATATCGATTCTAGATCGATAGCTCACTGGATGATCGTCTTTTTTTCCTTTCTGGACATGTGATAATCATGCATGTTCTGAGAAGGGGATTGCATGAGCGGGTTTGGTCAGAAAATAAGTGATTAGGATTCGAGCGCACGGCCATGGTTTGAGATCGGCTAGTGCCAAGTCGCTTCATCGTCGAGCAGTTGATAGCGGCCATTATCGAAAAAACGTTGATGTCTGCCATCAGAGATTTTACTTAACTAATGAAGAATTCTAACAAATTCGTCATATTTTGACACGAACTTTCTGAATCACAATCATTTAAGATTAACAGGAAGATAGCTTTTCATTTAAGCGTTTTCTTTAAAAAAATTGAGTGCCATGTGCGAGATTAAAAGAAACAAAGCCCATCTTGTTCGATTTTGTTTACGCCGTAACAGGTTTTTAGAGGAACACTTTATTTACTCTCGACATTTGCTGAATGCCATCTTGAGGGACCTGAAAGCAAGTCAATCACTCATCAACCAAACGATCCAGACCACCAGACACTTCCTCCATACCGTATACTTGGCTTAATGTGATGCAGATAAGTTCTCAGTTGAACAGCTTGCCAAGTGTTCCTCTAAAGACCTGTTCGGCTATAACAAAATTGAACAAAATCTACAAAACATGCCAAGGAAGGAGGAATACAATCCACTTTGAAGCCCATCTATTTCCAATGCTACGACCAGATGTTCACGTTCCTTGCTACTCTGTATGCTCTCAAAATTGTGCAGTATACGTCTTTCCATGAGTTTTTTATGTTACTCGCAAGCAACCCATGAGGTTATATTCTCCGCCTTTGCACACTATTTTTCTCAGTTTAGCTTGCGAATCTTCAACTTAGCAGGCAGGTTAAACTGACCGTGGCACCTGGCCTGTCGGTCTTCTGCCTGTTCAATTGTCAATCTTATAGCATGGGAAGGGGCGGTCTTAAGTGGGAACTTTTTCTGAATGGGTCATCTTAGTTCACTCGGACCCTTTGCTGCATAGATTCTTAAAAGCGATATCGTTTTGAAAACACGCGCCAGAACACTCATTATGTAATCTTTGGCTTAAGTGCTAGATTATCTCTCACTTAAGAAAAAACAACTTCACAAACTTCTACAGACAGCTTCGTTTCACCTAAGATTCATAACATGTTGCTATTTTATAATAAAAGTTCTATTTCAGAGCTGATAAATAGCCATGAATATTACAATGAAGCCAAAGCGAAAGCAGAGTACTACAATGACGTACATGGCACCCAAGCATCGGAACAGCTTGTCCAAATCTCAGAGGAAAATCCTGAAGATGTGGCTAAGGAAAGCGCTTTGTGATTTGTAGTCCAGTATCACGTAGATCTTACGAATTCTAATCACATCCTCAAATTGCTTTATCAGAAACTAGCTGGCATACCCGGCTCCGCCGTATGTTCCGAATAAAAAATTCCATTTCTTAACCGATCCGAACAAAACTTGGCACACATACACTTCGGGCCCCGGCGGGTGTCACAGTCCACTTTTCGTTATCGATTGACGTCGATTTTATCGATTTTTTGCAAAATTTGAGCTAGGGGCTGGAATTTGGCAAAGGGGTGTAATCGAGCATGCTGATCACCCCCACGGGGTGATCAGCACGCTCGATTACCCCCTTGTGCCAAATCCCAGCCCTGTAGCTCAAACTTTGCAAAAAAAAATCGATAAAATCGATAAAAGTAATGCACGATTCTAAAAACTAATGTTGTATTCGTAATCAGCATGCTCGATTACCCCCTGTGCCAACTCCCAGCCCCGTAGCTCAAATTTTGCAAAAAATCGATAAAATCGATATTGATCGATGACGAAAAGTAGCCTATGACACCCGCCGGGGCCCGTAGTGTATGTGTGCCAAGTTTGGTCCGGATCGGTTCAGAAATGGAATTTTCTATTCGGAACATACGTACACACAGACATACATACAGACAGACAGACAGACAGACAGACAGACAGACATACATACATACAAACAGACATTCAGCTTTATATATAAGATGCATCAGTTACTTTTTGATGCGATATTGCTGTGCACATCTAAACCTATACACACAAAATCTTAGCTCCGTTATCACTCCTTTGCTCTAGGAGTCGTGATTTTCATTTTCTTCTCTCTTGCAGCTATTTTTTAGTTCGAATTGGCGAAAATTACGACTGGAAAGCGACTACCCTGTTTCCAGGTGTATGAGCCGCACCCTTTTTGCTCTAAACGCGAGCAGACCCAGGTGTGCCGCCGCGCACATGTCTCGCGAAGCGGTCGCCTTATCGCATACTGATCTCACTTAACGCGCTTCATGACGACAGTCGTTTTTTGGCGTGTTGGCCGTTAGAGCGAGAAGGGTGAGGCTTATACACCTGAAAATAGGGTACTCAATGATTTGTAAATCATGTTCTACTAATCTTATTTTTTCACTATGTGTAGTATTACAATGATCTCTTTTATGTTTCCGAGCTTTTCAATTCAATTAAGAAAATTTATGTTGCTTGATCGAAGAAAGCAAAAAAATAGAATCTCTGTAATTCTCCTGAGTTGAATTTCTCATGCTCTTATGCTAATCAATCAGCGCCCGGTCTCTCTAATTATTCACAAATCTATAATCTGTGCTGCTTTTATCGGGTGCATTCATATCATTCACAAATTCAGCTTGTACATATGTGTTCTCATTCATTATGAATGTTTTTTTACATTGAAATGAAGTTGTTCATGTCATTGTTATCTTCTTTTGGCATACTAAGTTTTTGTCTAGTTTGAAGAGGAGAAGTGACGTAGAAAATCCATTTTTACGCTCAAGGATAGAATTGAACTAGGATGTCGTTTATTATTGGAAATCCGAAACATATATGTACAGAAATGTATGCCTCAGATTGAGTCAATCGTAAGGTGGTGCCCTGGAAGAGGAGTAACTGAGGGAGAGGTATCACATCACATAAGTTTTCAAAACTAGTTACATAATACTCTGCTAGACATGAAGTCTAAATTGCGTCAAATGCTTGTTTCTATCTTTAAAACTAGCCTTTATTTACTTTAGCCATTCAAGTTGCTCGCGGCTTGTGGAAGATCACGGTGGAGCATGTCTTGTCTGACAATCACTTCTTAGAGCGTGTAATTGTCTGAGTAATCCCTATATAATTATAAAAAACTCAAAAATTGTCTGTTTGGAGGCTAGGTGAGCTATAGAAACGCGCATGACCCCGGAGACGGTTTTAGGATTTTTTTACTAAAACTCGCTGGGCGCTTTTATCGATTTATTGATTTGTTTACGTTTTTTCTAAAGAATTGGAGCCTTATCATGTCCAATCAATCATTTTCCCTTAGCCACGTAAAGGAGGGAGGTGAAGCTCATTTTCACCTCAGGGACCCGTCATACTTCGCCGAAAAAAGCCCAAAGTAGCCCAGAAAAGCCCGAAAAAGCCCAAAAAAGCCCGAAAAAGCCCAAAAAAGCCCAAAAGCGCCAGAAAGAGCCGGAACACTTCTCGCACGTTTTGGCGTTAAGACATGTGTGTTAATTTCGCAATCGAGTCTTTTTGTCATCTTCTGTCGTCTGCACGACAAAATAATGTCGGAATTCTATCAAAGTTCGTTTCTACGTTTCGGCTCTTTCTGGCGCTTTCTGGCTTTTTCGGGCTTTTTTGGGCTTTTTCGGGCTTTTTTGAGCTTTTTCGGGCTTTTTTGGGCTTTTTTGAGCTTTTTTGGGCGCTTTTGGGCTTTTTTCGGCGAAGTATGACGGGTCCCTCAGGATCACGAGGATGCGGTTTCGAAGCGGATGTCCCACGGTAAGTCCGTCCATGACATATAAAGGGGGCGGGGCTCGCAATGCAGGGGATCAATGGCCTGGGCTGGACCGGGAAAGCCAAGTAGTCATTCATATGCTTGCGTAATATGTTTAACAATACCTCTTTGCTTTTTCCCTTCAAAACGAAATTAACACAGTTTGGATGTAATGATGAATTTTTAACCTCACCATGTATTCTGTGTAAATGCCCTCGAATGATGGCCTTTTTAACCCATTGACGACGACGCCTAATTTTGCATGGCGGCGCTGTGGGACGACGCGATTTTGCACAACACTTTCGGCGTGCGGAGATTTTGCGATTATTTACGATATGTAAAGTTGTTATGCAAACAACCACAATCATCCTTTTGGACGGCGAAGTCTACCGATTCCAAGAATGCAAGAAATTAGAGAAAATACTGAACTGTGGAAAAAATACAGATCTGGAAAGGACATGATTTTGCAAGGGGTGTGGGCCACCGGTGGTCCACATCGTCCCTGGCAGCAAAAAGTGCGTAGGCCACCGGTGGTTCACATCGTCGTCAATGGGTTAAACGGCACTCCTAGCAGCCACAGCAGCCACCTTGATGACATGCCTCAACACGTTAAGGGCCGGTTATACTTCACGCGATTCTAGTCGCGACGCGATTTGGCGATAATTTAACTGTCCCTCACTGTAAGGAGTTTCTTAATGCACGGAAGATAGGACAATTTATCAATCCACGTAAGTTATACACACTATGTATGTGCAGCTTGTGTGTATCTAAAGACTTCTGGCGAATTCCCAAATCGCGTCACGACTGAAATTGCGTGAAGTATGCCCACCCCTTTACGAAGCGGCAAAGCTCTCCTCCTTCTCTGCTTTGCTTGGACAAAATCGCTGCGGGCAAGGCGTATTGCCTGTGGCGGTGTGTATGTGGAGAACATCTGACGGCATTACCGTGCAAATCGGCCTACACTCAATGCCTTTGAGAAAATGAACTTTAGCCAAATAAGCACACTTTGTGTGAAACTTCACGAATGCTAAAGGTGTGTGCCCACTCAACAAGCGAGCACGATTCCCACGCAATAACCGGTCACTAGGCAGCTTAACACATTGACGACCAGGGCGTTTCACATCCAGTCAACATTTTTCGGATAAAATCACTCATAATTCCATCTACAGTACACCTGCAATAATCCTGGAATGCTGGCAAAAACAGTAGAGGTTCTGTCTAGATCCAGCACAAAAGAAAATTCCCGGAGTGGGTTTAACACAAAGTAGTAGTCATTTTGACGATACACATGGTGCGTCAAGCCTTGATACACCATATGTGTGAAGCGTTCGCCAATATGTTAAAAGCACCGTTCAGCCAATTCTCGATTTACATGTTTTTGTCGTTCTGGGACCTTCTCATGTTTCTCATTAAGAAAATGAAGTCGAAAGTCCGCGAAAAACCCAACAGTCACCGTTCCGGAATACGTGAGGCACGCTTCCGGAACGATGATGAGACGGGCGAGCATGGATGGGCGGGCATTACTGGAGGGGTCGCCATCTAGTGGTCTCTGCTTTATTCGTCGTTCCTGAGCGATTTTCTCGTTCCTGGTGCGACATTTTGGGCCGCAACTTTGGCAGGCTTGGTAGAAGGTTCTACAATTGTATGCTGGCAAAAGCTCAAGATCCTAACTTGGGGTGGTCAGTGCCTTTGAGGGCTGCCTCCAAGCAGAACTAAATCCTCGCAAACGCCGCTTACATACTTCTTTATGGTACCAGCCTCAAACAAAATCCTCGGCTAACGCGTTTCCACATGGACACAATCACGTGCTGTTTATCTATTAAGGTTTGCTTTCAACAAGAATATATGAATCACGATATAAGTGCTATGTCTGGAATTAGCGCCATGAAAGGCCTGGATTAGGCAAGCAAAGGGAATCGAGACTCTGTCCGAACGCCTTCGGCCTTCGCAACGGCATCAAAAAAGTGACTCTCTTGAGGTATGCTGTAGGCCTAAGCCGTATATTTGGTGAATCTAAAGACTCGCTTAGCACTAGGCTAGACTTTCGAATGAGACGGAATCGCGGTTTCTGAGCGTTCTTTATGGAACCAAGTAGATACAACCAAGTACATGAACAGTTCATGCAAATAGAATTTGATAAAAGTGTTTTAATTGTCTCTTCTGTTTTTCTGAGCCGAGATAAGTTGTTATCCTTCATCCCATTTTGTCGGTGGTAAATGTGCACTGCCATAACGTCAATGATAATCAGGCATTAAACACAGCAATCAAATTCATTCGATCTTATTTTCGGGAACTTTGCGTAATACAATTAGAATTAGCATTGTTATAGCGTAATTGGCAGATTTCAAAATACTTAATTCGAACAGCGTTATTTCTCCTCGGATCTCGATCGTTCACGTTGTTTCGCCTCTACTTTCTTATTATAACGTTTGATCATGCTCACATAGCTGTCCATGTATTCGCTGAATTTGCTATCTCTTTGAAGGGCGTTATCCTACAAGAAGATGGCTAAATCCTGCTACCCAAAAATTTCATGGAAATGGAACTTACACTGGCGAATAACTC